AAGAGAGAGAGAGAGAGAGAGAGAGGGAGAGAGAGAAAGAGAGAGAGAGAGACAGAGAGACAGAGAGAGTTCCCATGTTTTCAGTCCTCGGCATTCTTTTCTACTTACATCTTGATCATTTAAATCGTTCTTCAGTCTTTCTTTAAAAACGAAAATTGATAATTTTCTACAGCACGTATGATTACTACAAAGTCTTTTAACCGCTGAGTGATCTTGAAAATACAGACATCCATACAATAGCACACAATGAAAACGTACGTGATACTCAAAATAAGATCAGCAGCTCAGACCAACCAAAGACATGCTGCCTAGGAGCTGTGTGGTATGGTATGCTTACAGAATACAGGTCAAGAACAAGTAATTCAGAACACACCACTGCATATTCTTTCTAAAAAGGTACTGCTCGTTGCTTTTACCTGCATAACTTGCATTATGGATAGTATCACCCCTGAAGTAATTTGTAAAATCAGCAGATTGTTGCAACTTGTATATTGGCTAAAACCTCAGTGGCTTCGGTACACAATCTGGCAACTTTAAAAATTAATCATATTATTATTATTTACACCTGAATTTTTACTTTTCAGCCTGACAAGAGTCAAAATTCAATTTCTTTAATACGTTTCTGTAACAAGAAAGGAAGACAAAAAAATAAATAAAATAGTACACATATCTTTTCAAAACATCTTAAGCCACATACAAATGGTGGGATGAATTTTGAAGAAAATGATATTGTAGTAACTGGAACCATACCAAAGTCTCTGATAGAAAATGCTGTGTTTCACTGCTACTGATAAAGATTTTATTTAAAATTGTAAGATTGAATAACAGGAGAGTAGATCTATGTATACTGAAAATTACCTTAACAATGAACCTGTTTTGATCATTCTCGTCTTTGACTATCGAGTGGAAACATTTGTCTTTAGAAGGATAACACCACATATTTTTTTCCTCCGTCTATTCATCGTGGTTTGGACTTAATGGCCCTTTAAACACTGTATGTAAGGTAATATTTAATAATTCCATCTCCTGCAGGACAGAACCATCTTAAAAACTCCCCTACATGATCAAAGCCCCAAAACACTCCATTAAGCACCCAAACTAGGTAAATCTCTATGATAGTCCACCATGACACCAACTGAGATGTCTGGTAATTAAATCATGTATAAATATTTAATATGTATAGAACATGAAAATAATACTTCATATGCAAAACAATTTCTGCAAGTTTCACTTGAGTTACAACATAAACCTGCCATTTCTGAGTCACTGATAATGATGTGCAGCATTGAGTTAAACTCTCAGCATTGCATCCATGTATATCCTTTTACATCAATATAAAACTTGAACTATTTGTCATCACAGAACATATCACACATGACAAGAATGGTTTAAATGGGTTTTTTTTAAAAAAAGATGCTGAGAGATCATCTATAAAATTGTTGGGTACAAGAACATCTTGTGAGAAAGTTCACAGAGACACCGGAAAAGGTCTATTTAAGAAAGGTATCTGCACCAAAATTGAAATCTAAATAATACTTCACTGAAGTCTAACAATCAACACTGCAATCAGCATTCTTATAATATAATATAGCAATTCCAACTGACATCAAGATAAAATATATGAGATGTCCTATTTCTTCATCTAAGCGTTTTCCCACCCAGTGTTATCAAACCTTTTGAAGATATCAGCTTCTATTCCTTTATTCTTTTACAAAAACAATAAAAGCAGGAAAGTTAAAAGAAAACCCAACAAATAATACATTATAAAAACATGATGATAACACGACTTAAAAAGAAACAGCTGTAATAATAATAATATAATAATGTACTAATGGTGAATGCGAAAAAGGTGTTTATAGCTCGTTCACTTCTGTCAGCTTGCATAAAAAAGTTCTACCTAGTTTATTAACGTACCGATGCACACGAAACTTTGCACGGCACTCCTGTGGGCCGGCAACCAAACAAATTTTTAAAACAAAAATCTTGATTCAGTAATGAAAAGGTTTCTCTACTTCAAGGTCCTACTTTAAACACCGTCCTATGGGTGTATACGCAGGATCACTATAATAAATGATTTACGATAATGTTGCCTACGACTTGCTCATTTTGAGACATTTTGAGACAAAAGTGAACAAGCTATAACAATTTTTAAGATTACTTACACAGCCGCAAACTCATCAAGCCCTATAGATGAGCTCACTCAAGAGCATCACTTTCTACACATGCTCGAATACCACATAGAAACCTAACAGCCATACAGCACAGAGGGGTTTAGTTTAAAAATAAAGCCGTGGAACCAGTGACATCACACTGCAGTTGTCAATGAAGTTCTCTAATAAGTTATCGGAGTATTGCCAGTATTATCCCATTCTGCTAAATTTTTCCGAGAGTTAACAAGAATGTCGGAATATCATTTACGTTGCACCTTACTAAGACAAAGAAGACCAAAAAAAACAAACGAGATGCTGTCATGCTTTCAAGAAACACATACACCACATATACGAGATTAAAAATAGAAATTAAAAACATGTCAAAGACAACAATACAGTCATAGACTCACAGACCACAAGAGCACACATGACTCACAAAAGAGGAAAACGAACCTGACACAATGAGTTCATTCAAAAAGACCAGTCAGGCAAAAGACGAGAAAGGAAGACAACACTTAGCCCTTAGACGACTGTAGTAAAACAGAAACAATAAACACACGATGCAAGCCAATCAAAGGGGATGAGTATCCTGGACAGTACAACTGAGACATACCACACTAAATTCCAAGATAAACTGTGTACATAAGCTGAGACGCACTGGGAAAAGTGAAGTATAAATCTAATTTTTTCATGGATCGCAGTAAAACGACTAGTCCAGCTAGTTAAATTAATAAAGAAATGTGATGATGTTGTGGTTACAGGGAAAATGTATCTCATAAAAGAGATGTCCGCGTTCAGCTCAAGTTGCACTTAGGACAGAAGACAAAACTCAGGCCTCCCCCAATAAAAAATTATACCCTTTTCAGTTGAAGTGATAATGATTGTCCCAATAATGAAACGATTAGTCAGAGCTTAATATTGCTTCAAACAATTTTTAGGATACAATCACAGTTACGCAAACTTCAGCATACCTTTTCAGATGTTATTAAGTTTGGTACATTTTGTAATTGATAGGAGTATAAAACAAGGTACATTACAGCTGGCATTTACGTCTTATCACAACCACACTTGAGCATCACACTAAATAGAGAGGCAGAGAGAGGGGCCACATAGATTAGGGGCAATCCCTCTAAAACATGCAATAGAAAACTCAGACACTAGGGTTAAACTAACTCAGCCAATTTCAACGAACTGTGCTTCCTCTAGACAAAATCAGGGTGATCGGGATAAGTACACCCAAAGTGCTGTATGACTATTTTGGCAGCATATGACCCACACCTAAGGCATTCAGACAGTGGCTTGCCTTGAACTAATTGTGACAAGAAACCACCCACAAAAGCATCCCCACAACCGTTTGTATCTTTGATAAGGGAAGTATCAACAGGCTGTACATGAATTTCTTCCACCCTTCCTTCAGTGGCTACGATCGTTGGTGCTTTCCCCTGAGTGATGATCACGATCCGCGGTAGGTCGGAGTTGGCCTTTGGCAGAGCTGCGACTTTCAGGGCCAGAGCCGCCATGTCTCCCATGTCCATGTTCATCTGTCTGGCAAACTCTGTGTACTCGTCGCCATTGCCAAACAGGACGTCCACATGAGGCATGAGGTTCAGGCCCGGATCGGCAAAGTACTGGCAGAGAAATGTGGCATGGAGGTTCATCACCAGAGTTTTCTTTGCAGCTGAGCAGTGCTTGGCCACGGCTGTGACAACATCGCTACTGTTAGACAACAGGAACCCCCCGATATAAAAATACCGCGCCTTCTCCACCAGAGCCCAATTCTCCTGCTTCTGCAGAAAATCTAAACAAAAGCGCTCAGCGGCCCCAAGTTCTGTGATGAGAGAGCGGTCCTCCCCTGTAATGATGGCAGCGCAGACACCAGTCTTATCATCGGGATACACCTGATAGCAGACGTTCACACCGACACAACGAGCGTTCTCCTCTAGAATGTGCCGGAACCTGTCGTTTCCGACACCACCCATGAAGGTGGTGGCGCCAGGGACCTGCAGCAGCCACTGAGCCACACGCACGCTGTTCTGGGTGGCGCCCCCTGCGATGTAGGACGGGGAAAACTTCTCAACCACCTCGTGGAACAGCTCGTGCTGCTCGGGCGTCGCTAGGACGGCGTTGTTTGGCTCCAGCCCATAACGCGACAACAGGTCCTGGTTCCCGGTGATGCTGATGTCCAACAGTGGGTTACCCATACCCAACAACACTCCTTCTCTGACACCGCTGGACGAAGCCATTGTACTGTAGGCCTGGTGATGAAGGAAAGCAAAGAAAAACATTAGATGTGTGAAAAACAAACCAGTGTTGGACTACAGAACACTTACAATAACTGCAAAAGAATACAACACAACTTCAGAGCACTGAATTGTTTAAAAATGACCCTTATTGTATATTAGCACTTTAACATTTCTTTCTTTGTCTGCTATCCTTTTCTTGACAACTCTCAATTTGTGGAGTTGCATTTAAGATGATTATAATATGATAACAGTACAAAAGAAATCACATGTCATATACAGTAAAAGCAGTCACGGGTGGAACAGCATGAGGTGGGTTTTTTTTTTAAATAAAAAAGACAACAAGGCTAAGTTGAGGACTTCATAGTATTCATTAAACAGCAGTGACCAGGGAACACAACAGAGAATGCCCAATAACGACAGTTTCTACAAAAGCCTGAACAGCACTAGGGGAAGAAGCTAAAAGCTCTCACCAGTCAACACACGCGTCCATAACTTAAGACAGGACGAAATAATCGTACAGCAGCGCAATTTGATAGATTCCTGCTTCTTGTTCTTTCAAACAATACAACTGCCAATCGATGCGCCCGTCAAAAGACCCGAGAGGAGTTGACAGAACGGAAAAACAGCTATGTCATTGAATTGGGCGTCACGTGACCATTAGGTTTCTGGTACGATAGACTGACTGAGACATGCCAGAGTCGCACAGGGTGAGGGTAAGGGCACCAGACATGAAGTGTAATACAGCGGTAGGTGTACCCCGGAGTCAACGTGACAGAATAAAGGAATTAGTTGAGCGAAATGATGAGATTATAGCAGAGTTGTCGGTCAACCACTTGACACGAAAGAGAGTGAGAGTGTGTGTGTGTGTGTGTGTGTGTGTGTGTGTGTGTGTGTGTGTGTGTGTGTGTGTGTGTGTGTGTGTGTGTGTGTGTGTGTATGTGTGATTATGTATCTAACTGACACATCTTCCATCTCCCC